TGTAAATAATTCCCAGTTACTCGTACGAAACATGTTTTTCAGATTCTGAATATTTTTTGAGGAATTCCTATGCTTAACTTTCTGATGTAAGATTGGACTCTTTTCACGATTCCCGTATACTTTAGGTGGAATATGAATTATAAGGTGATCCGAGCTAAATAATGGAGCATGTTTACGAGTCACATATAAGCCCACATCAATAATGAAAACACAATCTAAATGAGCATCCAAACGAGTGGGAATATCCACTACATTTTGGTGACTTAGTGATGAATGGAAGCTACAATCACATGAATTGAAATCACAACATGCAATTTAAAGTGAACCACTGAAGGAAGGTACAGTGAATTCAGTGGCTTAATCAGCAAAAACAGATAGCACAGATGATGTGCAGTGTGAAGTCACGTAGATTTGGGTAACATAAACGTATGTGTATTTATTTGGGTGTTTTGGGCGGCATCTTAAAGTTGGACAATCGATAAAGTCATCAGAAAACTTGGAACATGAAAAAGTAGATCGACACCACTTCATATTTACAAACGCAGATACACCGCCACCGCACGTCTTTTATTGCTTGATCGGTCCTGACGATATTTATTGAAATCACGTAGTGATACTGCAGGGCCAGTGAAATGTCACTAAGCCCTAGCATTACATTAGGTTCACGTGACAACGCTGCGTTTGAAACCAATCCAGCGAAATGTCGTAAGCTTTTCATAAACGCGACTGTTTAGGTTATGTGATTAATAGACATAACGAGGTGTTAAAATAAAATACAGATAGCTTGCTGAAATATTTAGATAGCAGAACTAGATAGGCTGGGTATTTAAGCAGGCCGCCACCACCATCTGTGCACCAAAGGAAACTTAGTGCTCCACGATCAGGCTTTATGACCTTTATCTACACCAAAGTTCCTTCTACATGCGCAGAAATGGCGACAGTTTTCTGCAGAGGCGTAATAGGACACTAACTGAATCTGCTGTTGTATCTAGGCCTTAGTAGAAGAGGTCATTCGAAGACATATCATGCACTTTAGCAGCATAATCCAACAACACAAACAATTCTTAGTTTCTTGAGGTTAATATAACATGATGCGGCAAACATAATCGTGGATGATGATGTAGTGTGGCGTCGAGTTGTGATTAACTATGAACACCGCTACCAAGAAACACGTGCCAAATAGATCAGAAGGCGTAAGAAGCTCGTTCCAAATGACTCCATAAAATCCCCGAGAAGCCGAATACCAGAAGGCAATTAATGGACCAAGTCGAGGTTTATTAGCTGGCGATCTCGTGGCATCGAAAGGATACCGAGATCGTGCCAGGATACAACCTTGGTTACAGAAGGTAACCGAATTCGCGCGAAGTCACAATCAAAGTGTGTGTACAAGAATGGAAGCACAAAATAGCTGTCATTAGCACAGTCAAACAAAAGCACGTTAAAACAAACACTGGTACAGTTGGTTATAAGAATAATTGTTTTTATTAAACCAGTCGTGTTCTCGTGATAAATGTGAGTCACTACAATGATTCGGGTTGACGTGCATCTCTGGAACTACAACCGCATACCCTTTTTCGACCGTCTGGTGTAAGCACGAGTGTAGCATCCCTGAACATCTTTATCGTATATAAATAGACGTCCCAAGATTATTGAGATTCGCCGAGCAATTATGTAACCCCCAGAAACCATATTTCATTCTATCTTCCAAAATAAAGTCAAATTCGCTCGAAGTTGCCCGCCGTCTCGTTTAAAGGACTTTGAACGGCCTGACAGGAGGTGACTTTTTCGTATTTCAGTTGCTATCAGTTTTGAAGATGCCACGGGTATTTGGGTTTTGACAACGCTTCAACCATTAACATTTTATACTATGAATCGTGCCCACCAGGTGGAATCAAATGTCAGGAACGAGAAGGTTCGATGATATATTTGTACGCTATCAGTACATCGAGGTTCGACTGAGACAGGAACGAACTCCGTTGGGAAATAATGGATTTATACGATAGATCACTCGAAATGCTTCCGATTTATCTACATTATGACCGCTAATAATTAGCCGTGCCAAGATATAACTGCATATTATCTCACCTGGCCCTTCATAAACCAAGCTGGTAGAAGTTTCCTCATTCGTTGGTTAAGTTACTTGGTGGTACGCCCAAAATAACTACCTCCACGGGACCAGTTGAATTTGTAAATGCACATTGAGGGGCCACCTCAGATAACTTATCCTTCGTTTGAGTAGACATCGCTGATCGACCCGAGAAGGTCAACGCAAGATTGGCTGCGTAGAGTGTCCTGCTAATTACTTTCGTTAACCTAACTTTCAGAGTATCACTAGCCAAATCCCCGTTGAATCGTGGTTTCATATTTAACAGCTTGTTTCGAATGGTGGAAATCTTCGACTTTTTTTAATGCTATACATGTACTTATTAATGAAAGTACTGGGGTAGCCGATCTCTGTTAGTGAGTTGTTGATCTTGGCACATCTTATTGATAGAGGCCATAATGCAGATAAATCGGAAGCGTTTCGAGTGATCTATCGTATACCTCCTTCATTTCTCAACGGAGTTCGTTCATGTTGTTGTGACTTTAACTTGGGTCGATTTTTACTCCGTGCCAATTGTTGCGTCCTTGACTGAAAGATTAGAGAGCAGCGTACTTATCGATCGATTCGGTGACACGTAAAACACGTACGAACGGCCTAGAGTTCCGATTAGTCCCGCCTCCTTGTCTATCCCAGCCAGTTGAGTCCAGAACACAAGTCACAACCTCTGAGATATGAATCGTTGTATTTCAGACATACTCTATTTATATACTAATCAAACAGACCACATCGTACCATAAAAATAGAAAACAACATTTGCACAATATTTAACGAATGAAATAAATAATGGCCAATAGGAAATGTCCATTTAACGTCCAAGCACATCATTAGACTTAACATGATAATGATTGGCACATTATTCTGCATCCATAACACATGTCTCCTAAATGTAGATGAAGCCATAGGAATTCGCACATTCAACCCCAATTTATGTATACAGAAAAAATTCGTGACCCCCTACCCCTTCCATGGCCGGTTATAACTTACCAAACGACTTTTTTGTTCTATTTTTGTTATCGTTACCATTATTTTCACACTCGGTATTTGTTTGTAATTTTCCGCCTCTTTAACTTTGTATCCTTTACTATATAATTATTTGCACACTTCATATTGCATAATGGTTTTAATGTTTTGCGATGACTAGTTTGAGTCTATTTACCAACTTTTGGCCTTCTATTTCCAGTGCTTAACTATTGGTAAGACTTTTGTAATCGTATTTTATTATCCTTACTACTATCGGTACACCTGTCTTCCTACTATTAGCTTTTACTTTTACCCAGTATGTGTGGTGGCTTATTCTATTTCATCGTGATTATTGACCTAAGTTACCTTGATTGGTTTAACATTTTCGTATAAATATTCATATACATCAGAGTAAAGCCTGGTGACGTTCTATTTGAAAACAATCGTTTGCTTACATGTGTTATTCTAATTTTCAGAATGTGAATATTTAATATTCTTTCGGTTTTACCGAAGGAAAATCGACATAAAGAAAGTTAGCTTCTAGATACGCGGTTTGGATCCGATCGAATTGATGCTATCGTTCGTTCCGTTTTTATCGATTACATGGTACTTAGGTTCACGCTGAAGAACTTCAAAGGGTCCTTCGTATGTTGTTTTCAGAGGTCGTCGAATTGCGTCGCGACGTACAAATACGTGTGTACTATATCGCACGGCAGGTTGAAAGAAAACATCAGTTGACTGCGGTCGAGTGGGAACAGGTTTAACCGAACACATTGCGTTTATAAGCCTCCTCGTGTAGGAGGTTAGATCCATATTCATTGAAGAAGGCGAAGGATCCACGAATTCTCCTGGAAGTCAGAGTGTCGTTCCATAAACGAGTTGAGCTGCACTGTATCCAATGCCAGTTTCCACTGCATTGCGAATACCTGGTAAGACGAGTGGAGGAGCGTCGGTCCAATGTGAAACGTTTTCAGATGATAGTAAAAGCGTCCTACCAAACCATTTACTTGCGGGTGCCAGGTGGTCGTTCGGAAGCAGGTGATTCCTAATAGTGTGATCAGGCAACGGAAAAGTTCAGATTCGAACTGGCGTCCACGGTCCGCAGTGATAGTCGAGAGGCAACCAAAGTCATTATTATTATTATTATTATTATTATTATTATTATTATTCACAAACACCTTATGGGTACATAAGTGTTGTAAAGAAACCATTTCGGGTTTCTTCAAAAAATGAAATAATACACAATTTTCAATAAAGTCAGCATTATACTTGCCATTAAAAAAAATTTAGAGCAATAATAGTAGAATATTAATAATAATAAATCGGGTCTGTGCAATTGAGAAGAATATTGAATTGAGTTTAAAGAAGGAAATGGAGAAAATAAGGGAATAGAAATGAAGGAGACGTGAAATACGCAAACAGTCTAATAGGCATGTTTGCGAACACAGAACAAGAATAAACGACTATGTGTGTATCGTTAAATTAGTAACAAAAAATAATTAAGAAAAAATAACTTATAATTGCGGTGAGATATGACGCTAGAATAAATGTTTGTGCAGTTATAGTTTAGAGTAATTCTATGAAAGTTACAATTAAATGAAAAGGATAATAAAATATCAATATGTATGAGTCATATATGCATAGTGAAGATAAAACGGGTCTGAGAATTTAATTTACGTGTAACGCAAGTTATTGTTTTAATTACAACTTCGTAATCTTAAGAATAATATTTATTTAGAGGGAAAGAATGGAGTGAAAAGAAGTGAACACCTAGTGAAAAGTTTTGATCCATGATAACAATAATTATGTGATAAATATCAACCTCAGAAGGAAACCAGTAATTGCAAAAATAAAGTAAAAATCCGTTAAAGCACTCGGATGAATACATTTAGATATAAACGACTATAAACCGACTATCTCGGAACATTTACCAGCTATGTTAGCTATTTCTTGTCCAACAGTAAACTGCTACAGAAGACTGCATAAACATCTTGCTCCCTCCTGTGTGAATTGGGATTTTCATGATAGGTATGTATCAATTCGTGTAAAAAACTTTGATGAGAAACAGACATACATAGAAAATCGTATACCATCGTCCGCATCTTGTTCTTACCATGTGCTTGCTGCCACAATAGCAGCTGGACTAGATGGCTTGGAACGTCAGATACACCCTCCACCTTCAGGTTTGAAACTAGCAAATGGTCAAATTGGTGTCTGTAAAGTACTTCCCAATACAATTCAACAGGCTCTACATAGTCTTATGGATGACAAAATACTTGTGAACAAGTTGGGAGCAGATTTTGTTGATTGGTATATTCAAGTGAAAAAGAATGGAGATTTGTCATCACTTGGTCATTTAAATATACATGATAATACTGAAGAAACACTGGCTTATGAAAGATATGAATATTTCAACTTTATGTGACTCACCTCACAGAACCAGTTTATTCTATCAGTTTATTCCAAAAATGATGATTTTCTCAGTAGTTATTGAATGTAAAGCTACTTACTTTTAAATTTTTATTCTCTCAACTTTTATAAGTCACATTCTATTACTGCTATTTCACTTAGTCATTCCTACATTACTCTTAAGATGGGGTTGACTACTTTTACATTTCATTCCACTATAATCCACTATGTTTTAAAAAGGATATTATTAATGTGATAAGCAGTTTAATAATAATGAATTAAAAATGAGACTAGTTTGATGTTTGTTTTATTAACATAATGCATTTCAAGGATATAATGAATCTCCTAGTTAGGCTGTATAGAACTTTGCCTGAACAAAGAAAAACAGATAATGTGTTTATCCATTAAATCCAGCGAAGTTGAATGATGTTACTCATATTTTTTAATTAGTGTCCTTATGCTGTCGTTTAATGTTGAGTATGAGCTGGCAGACTTTGGTGTTAACACGACTGTAATTATATAATGTAAGTTCGTAGAATTTCGATTACTAAAAGTTTAATCATCTTACAGCTAGATTCATTTTGCTTTCTTCAAGGAGTTAATTTAATCTAACCGGAAAAAAGTCTAAAACAACTTCTGCATAGTTTTTAAACAATAACATATAAGTTTAGGTTTATACTGAAAAATTACACAAGGATTTTGATTACATTAAAATAGTTTCACAGACCTCACTAGACATCACACTTGAAATATAGGGTTGAAACGTGAACAGTGTTGCACAAAGAGTTATTTGAGGATGGGTCCATTAGTCTGTCATTGGATGAAGAGGTCAGTTTTCATAAATAGTTCTTTATCTTCAAATACAATGAGTTCACTATTTATTTGAACGTATTTATAATACATAAATACTGGTACATATAGGTCCCAAAATAAATATATGTCACACAAATAAGGAAATGAAAGTGTGGAATGAGGAGGGAGTATGATGGAAAATTGACGAACCAAGAGAAATAAGTGAACGAGAGTAACATAAAACAGGAGGTAAATTTCAACTAAGAACATAAATAGGAAGAATTGCTTCATTTAGGTGATTTCATTAGGTTTTTGTGAAGAATACAAAATAAAAATACAGTAGGATTATCATTGGCTTCTATACTGAGCTAATATCTAATAACATGTCAAACCAGTGAGAGTTGCATTATACCACAGAACTCAACCGGGAAGTCACTTTGGACGTACAGGTGACCGTCCTATACATCTGTCTTTCTTGCCACCTTACCACGTCAAATACCGTCCACCGCTACAATTTGTTGTGTGCATCAGTCGTCGCTGTCTATAAAATCAGAACAAACTAGTCGATGTTACCGTAGCAGCAGACCGACTGAACTGTTCCTTGATAAGTTATGTTCAGACTATCTTTTAGCAGTTGCCAAATGCAGCTTCTGTTTCCAAATCATTAGAACTCTCTGAGGAACACGTCTCTCAGTTTTTATGCAAAATTTCTAAAGTTTATGTACCTAATAATTTATGCTTCATGCAACTTATTCCCTTGACGAATATAAATATAGCCAAAACAACGACTGAGGCAGTACTTTTGACTTTATTCAAACCTACTTTTATTACAAAAAGTTGTGGTTTACCGGATTAAACCGACGTTCCTCAATGAGTTATAAGGTACCTGGGGAGACCTACTAGTTATGAATAGAATGTTCCGAAAACAAACAAGAGACATGACTCATTATTTCCATAGAGGCATGCAAACTCACCAAATGGTTATCTACTCTTTCCACTGGACAAACTGATAGTCTTAAACCCAACTTGGTTTGATGATTACTACGACTTTAGGCCCGAATAATTATCACGTGATTTATACGTCGGATGAGTGTACTGTGATACTAATGGATGCTTGGGCGTCCTAATGTGCAAGCATGGTTGCTTTTGCGATAAGTTCCTTAATTGTGGAGAATACTTTTCGAGCATTATCGTCCAAATTGATGAATTTCAAATATCCACGAAGTTGGTTGGTTAACGGTTTCACAAGGGAAACGAAGTTTGGTATAAACCGTCTATAGAAATTTACAATGCCGTTAAACGCGAGTAATTGCCTAATTGTGGTCGCTTCTGGGTAATCCAGAATAGCCGCCAGTTTGCTTCACAGAGGTCGGATGCCTTGAGCAACAATAGTATGTCCGAGGAAATTTAAGGAGTCAGATCCGATTTGGCATTTCTGAATGTTTACAGTAATATCGTGCTTTTGTAGTCGTTCAAAAACAAGGTTTAGATGCTGGAAATCAGATTCTCTGTCCCAAATCGCAGTCAAGCAGTCACCAGCATACGCATGTACGAAGTTGAAACTTCGGGAAACGTCATCCATGAATCTTTGGAAGATCTGAGCAGCATTTATTAGGCCAAAAGGCTTGCGCGAAATTTCGTAGACACCGAAAGGAGTAATGGTAGTGGCTTTAAGAATGTCGTCAAGTGGCCATGGGGATTCGGTTATAGGCTTTAACCAAGTCGATTTTCGAAAAGACAGTTGTACCATTTGATGTAGCTGTCAAGTCGTGATTGTGGGGCAACGGGTAAGAGTGAATAAGTCGTATTTCGATTGACGAATAAATTACGTGATAACTACTCGGAAATTAAAGTCACAACAAACCCCATGGCCTGTTTGCTGGAAGAATGGTTCTTAGGCCTATCATATGATCGAATCCGTTTTTAGCCGACCTCAGCATTTTGGGGGCCAGTCGGAAGATTTCGAGAATGCAGGTGGTCGTGTAGTCGTGATGTGACGTGTAACATTGGTGGTTACACACGGCAATTTCGGTTGCGTTTGGTATATCCCAGAGTACTTACCAAGTAATTGCTGATAGAATGGATCAGTCGTGTGCTAAATATGAATGGAGATAATCTGCAATCGGAAAAAGAAGTTACACAAACAGGTATGTTGGGGTTTTCATCTGCAAGCCTCCGTTTGTGTGTATCGACGAGTAGATTGTGGTGTTATATAAGGCCCATACGAATGATTGGCATAGAAACATCTGAGGCAACGAACATCCAGTGAATGGGTTTGCGTAAACACATGTTGTGATAAATATATCGCCTCCATGTGTAGCGATCGATTCCGACTCGCCACCTGTAAGCCGAAAACTACTTCATAGAGTCGGTCGTTAGAATTCACTGGAAGGACGCTCATCTCTGCGCTAGTTAGTGAACTTTCGTTACAACATCTGTGACGTATAATGGACGGTTGTGTCCGCCGTCTACGGTTGCCGTTAACGAGTGCAGGCTGGGAAGTTTCCAAAAAGGTTTAAGCTGAAATGAAGGTGGATTCATAGTCTTTAACCTAAGTACCTTGGGTGTTTTGTGCGTCATGACGAAGTACGAAGTACAGGAATGGACGAGGAAAAGAATATGTATATATCCAAAAACACGGAGAGAAATATCACATATGAAAATCAAAATAAAGGGATGATATATAAAATCCCAAAAATGAACGGGCTCACAGTTTGCTAGTTGTTGTACCAGACCACTTAGTGCTCACTAACGAAGATGCCAAGGTATTTGGAGTTTCACAGCGTTTTAATCAGTAACATGTTTTACTATGAATCATGCCCACAAAGTGGAATCAAAGGTCAGAAGTGAGGAGGTTCAAAGATATATTTGTTCGCTATCAATATATCGAGGATCGACTGATCTAGACGGGCTAGCGATTGCAGGGGATGTTAAGATCGGTGTCCCTACTCACGATCTGGTGCGGATGCATTACCGAGAGCTTCACCTACGTGAGTCTATTAAATCAAATATGGCCAGCATCCAATGTCAATGAAATACAGATCTATTGATTTTGGGGATTCATTTACCCGTATAGTTGGTGGGGCGTCAGTTGCGTTGCACGAATAACGGGCGTAACCATACTTAAGTGATTTTTTGCTGCGGCAAAACCAAAAAATCATCACGAAGAACATTCATTTGAATCTCTCTGTACTGTAATGAACATGTTGGATCGATTGTTGCTTCATAACTTCTCAATCTCCCTAGTCTTAGTCTTATTTTCGGTGTTATTTAGTGATTGATACAGTTATACTAGAAATATTAATTCATGAGTAGAGATTGCCAAAAAGAAGGAAATCTTAAGTTTTATAGACAGTACCAGTTAATCAGGCTTCTAGTGACTGAAATAACTTACACTTGAAAATTTCCCATGATCTCCAAAGCATAGGTTGACTTTTATGATCAAATTATTAACGCAATTATGATTTATCATTGAGAAGTTGCTAATTGTAAGTTTAAAACATAAATGAATAAATAGGACTGAAGTGATTAATTCGAAAAGCATGAAAAATATTTCTGGGACAAAAATGTCCAACCAAAGCCTATTACTATGAAATATCTTTCTAAAAAAGATAATAGATGTATGTTGTGTTCAATTTTGCCATAAATTGTCACATTATGAAGACTATGAATGGAGTCATTTCTAACTAAATATTTCGTCTTTACGATTCTTATGAGCATTAAATTTATTAATACGTTCATATTCACGTAGTATAGTAACTGTAATACCGTGATGGAAATGTGTTTAGTGTAGATACGTTACTAAATATTTTCTATTAAACAGTAATATGTCGACTTTGAAGTGTAAAAATCAGCACTGGATCATTTAATAATGGTCATAAGTAAAGTAAAACAGCTGGAAGTTAAACAATTAATTATTAATCCAACACTAATTCAACGCATAACATATTAAGTTTTATCATATGTACCAACTATGAATCCAGTGTTCGAAGGTGAATGTTTTCTCCATAGTATATCTCATCATATAGTTTTTTGATAATGATCCTTCTAAAACTGTTCAGTTTAATTGTAAAAACATAAAGTCGAACAATCATTATACAGATAGAATAGAATATCAGAAAATATTGTCTGTACTACAATGATTACTTAATCTTTTATAAGCTCACTATGCACGCAACAAATATATGTAGTGACTCACATTTATCACGAGAACACGACTGGTTT